AACTAGTTTTCACTATTCTTGGTAGTCCCTGGCCTGTACGTACAAAAATCGTTACGTTGGAGTGATTTACATTTGTAAAGTTTATGAAAGTTATTTTTCCCACAGGATTTGAATTGGGTGGCAACGTACATAGCAACGCCGTAAGCCGATTAGTTCTATTCATGTTGTCAATGTACGTGTAACATATTTCTATATCAGCATATTTTAATGTGTTGTGGATGCATATTTATTAAATTAAAAATTTTGTAAATAGTATTAAAAAAATGAAATTTATGTGTAACAAAAAAAAAATCAATTTCAATATTTTATTTTTTATCGAGATTAGACCATATGTGAACAAATTCCACGTTATACCACCATAAACAATCTTCGAGTTGTGTCGCCATTGGTAGCTTGTTATTTTTGTAAGCCACACATTCTATTTTTTGTAATAGTTATTACTAGTTATAGAAAAAGTAATACGAGAAGATTTATCATTTTACTATTGGATATTTCGGCCGAAAAAAGGCCGAAAAAAGGCTGAAATATCCAATAGTAAAAAATGATAAATCTTCTCGTATTACTTTTCTATTCAAACTTTATGCCCAAAAAGAACATATTTATTACTAATTGTTTTAACTATCATTGATTATTTTTTCTGYAAGAACTCTCATCATGAATGTTGATTTAAAAATGTGTTTAAATAACATTACCGGGCTCACATTGCAGTTCTTGTGTTGTTTCAGGTTCCTTCAACGCCTGCAAAGCATCATGGGCATGTTGCACGGTTTTTTCAAGTGTCTGTAGCTTAGCCTCCTGATCACCGAGGACTTCACTCTGACTCTCGACAACCTATATCAATTTCATGATTGTCATTATTTTCAACACACTGTAACAAAGCATCATTTTAAATGCCAAGTGAGATATAAATATATCTATAAAGCCGGAAAGTTATAGTGCTAGGAAGAAGTTATTCTTGGTTAAAGACCCTTGAAAATATATAAAACATCCGAAGAAATTAATTTCCGACTTGGCTGGGATTCGAATCCAAGCCCTTGGATTTGTACTACCGATGCTCTACCAGTTGAGCTTCAAGGTGAGACTGGGAGCAGGTCGGGGTGAAATAGATGTTAGGTTGCGGTAATCAGAATGTAAAGATAGAGCGGATTTCGTATGAGTGGGACACCGTTACCGTTACCGCACAGTTACCAGACCTGGCCTGCACAATTTTGGTGAACCAATGGGGCACTAGAATTAGTGGTTACAGTACGATTACGGTCACAGCACAGAACAAGAGGCCGTTATGCATGAGCATGCGCGCAACCGCTGCGTTATAACGACCATGGGCTCTAGAATACGGGTAGAATAACATTGTAGTAGCTGCGGAAGCTTCGATTCTGAACATAATTGATGTTTTTACTTATCTTCCACATTTTTCCAAACAAAACCAAGTAGATATATTTACAATGCACACGAATATCTTTCAAACTTTATATAAATTACTGTGAGTCTCGGGCTAGATTTATAACACGAAGCCACTTTGTACCGTTAAAATGTAGTGAATTATTTGTGCACACCTTTAGCAATAATAAATTCCTAAGATGTGAATCGATTGCACTGCAATAGTTTATTTCATAACTTATAATGATACAGCTATAGAACTACACATAGATATTTATGATAACTTGATTCAAACAAGCTCAACTCTTCAGCCAAAAGAATGCTAAATCTGTCGTGAGTGCTCAACAGCACGTAAGAATTTGCAGAATTAACACCGTTCCACATTTTTCATAGACAAGAAAACATTATCAAACCATTTGCAAAGCATAAGTCTTGATATTGGTAGCCTTATTCTAATGAGTCCTGGTGGTATATAAAAGGAAAGTAGTATTTCATGTAACAGTTAATAATATTTAAGCGTAAATATTGTACACTTCAAGAAACTGTCTTTCGAACATTTCGAGGTCGATGTTACTAAACGATGCCTAATTATATTACTACATGTGTACATTTACCATTTACTTCAT